CCCCAAAACCCCAAAACCCCAAAACCCCATGACAATGAAATTTAAAGATGAAAGAGAAATTATAAATTCCAAAATGTAATGAGACTCAAGTGAAAAAGGTATTTTTAATGTTTAGAAATTAAGACTAAGAGATCTTGTGGAGTCTCATAATCTTAGAACTATCTTTTGAAGATTAGTTGCTCAGAAGAGAACGAATTGCTTTCTGACGTTACCTTCGATTCTCTTGGCTTCAACTCTGAGAACGTTGAATCTAACAGTCTTTGAGAGTGGTCTGCACTGTCCTACAGTAACGACGTCTCCTTCTCTGACTCTTGGGAATGCGGGTGAGCAGTGGACAGCGAAGTTGTTGTGTCTCTTCTCGAATCTGTTGTACTTCTTGACGTAGTGGAGGTAATCTCTTCTAATGATGATGGTTCTCTTCATCTTAGTTGAAAGGACAACACCCCTATTAACATTATAATTATTAATATATATATAATAGAAAATAAGGAAGCCTGTATCTTGAAGCCTCTGCTAAGAAAGTAAACTTACTTGAAAATTCTGCCTCTGATTGAGACGGATGAGGTGAAGGGGCACTTTTTGTCGACGTATTGACCTTCGATGGCCTCAGCGGGAGTCTTGAAACCTATACGGTGCGAGGTTAAAATCTTTAATATGCGGATATAAAAACGTACCAAGACCGATCTTCTTGTAGTATCTGACACCGGCTGTAGTCTTCTTTGCCAAGAGTTTTTTGGAGTTAAGGAACACTGCTGATTGCTTTTGGAATGCTCTTTCAGTCTATAACAAGAGTTAGTTCAAGATGCCCCATCAGAGAAAGAATTTGAGCTCACCTGAATATCTGCCATCTTATCTTTGTATTTGGTAGAGTAGTTCTCTCTGCTAATTAAATAATAATTAAAGGTCGCCTTATGAGCCTATTAATTATTAAACTATATATTTCTTCTTCTTTCATTTCGCTCCCAGCACAATCATTATCATTGATTTTGGGGTTTTGGGGTTTTGGGGTTTTGGGGAGATCGGAAGAGCACACG